GCTCACATAATCAACTATGGAACATCCTAAACTATTACTCATTTTCTTTTTCATTTTTGATGTACGCGCATGATGTATCACATTCTTTCTGATGTGTCATATATCGTCATCAGAATGTTCACATCACAATATACGATGACGCCTACTACGATGTTTCTATATATAATGATTCCTACTGATATGCCGTTTGAGTTCAAGCGTCTTCAGTTTCCAGTACGTCTTGCCTCGCGATGTCCATCAATAAGGCTCAATTACAATCACTTAAGGTTGCTGGTATTAATCTAGAGACTCCTTGCTTTTCCTATGGCCAACTTTACGTGGCGTGTTCAAGAGTCGGAAATGGAAAAAAATTTATATATTTTTGCACCTGATGCGAAAACCAGCAACATTGTATATCAAGCAGCTTTGCAATAAAAATTGTTTTTCATTGCACAGTTTCTCTTAAATAAAAGTAGTTTTATAAAGAAAATTGAAAAGAGATATTTATGAAAATCTCAAAAATATCGAATACTAAAAGTTGAGAAGGAAAAGATCCAAGCGTATTGTGCGATATTCCCGATCGGTAATCCATAGAAGACCATAGCGACGTCGTCTTCTCATACGTCAGACATGTACTATCAAATTATCTAGACGGACATCGGGTACTTCCGCTAGTAGATTTATAAAAAGAACGAATCATCAGCCCAAAAGGTCAATTATTACTAAAGCACGACAACAGAGTAACCTAACGTTTGATTGAAATAAGAAGAAAAATTTTCCATCTCATATTTAGATAAGTGCTTCCTGTGGGATCACGTGAATACACTGTTTTCTTATTTAGGATGTTACTAAATTTATATAAATCAACGTTCTCATTCAGACAACGCAAATTCCAAGTCGCTAACCGTTTGCGTTCATGAACGATTTTGATAATAGTTATCTTTCTCTTTTGTCAAATGGACAATAGTGTAATAATGTGTGAATTGTCGGATCTCAATTTTAGCTCGCTCTTCATTCGATGTGATTTTCAGAACGGCTTTGTCTTATTTATCTGTAGTATATCCATTACTACCACCTTCGACCAGTGAATACTATTCGAAAGACATCATAGTAAATGTATACGTTATCCGTGCGCTCATGGCTAATAATTAGAGCTACAATTAAGATCCTACTTGTCGCTCCTCAAAACAGAACACAAACGAAGCTGGGCTTGCTTGTACAAATCTTGATCCGAGATAGTTAGAAGAACCACAACCAGAAATATCTAAGACAAGTCTCCCATAAGCAAGCACAGTGTTTGTCTCTGTACTGCAATGCACGCAGGCTCAGCAATGATGAGCTGATGAGTGCGATCATTTTGTCCACTTTTTCCTTTGACTGCAGCTGAAAATCACAATCCATTTGAGCACTAGAAAGTACCATGCTAATTGTTGAGATGTACTCACCCGTACGTACTAAGGTTCGCTTGACACATTCCGAAAGCCACTTCGATCCGAACTTCTTGTATAATTCGTTCAATGTTTGCTCACCTGAGGCACACAACACTCGAAAAGCGATCGCAGCTTGATAATCATCGTTTAGATACACTTCTTGTGGTCGCACAATCGCGAATTCTTGCTCCGTGCTACCATTCTGATCATTCATCGCTCAGTAGCCAAGACACCAAGGTTCGGTTTCAAGTCGCTTCATAATAGGTGCCGCGAGTTTCGACACAACGTCTGCAAGCTGTTTTAGACAAGAGGTGTAAACTTGTATCTTGCTGGATTGATCGATTTTCTTATCTGAATTGCGAAAATAAGCAGCTTGTCGATCAAGGAGCAGTTCAGCCAGCACAGAACCCGATGGTCTAGCAGCAACACCAACATTGTGAAGAAATTGATTGCCGTCTAGGCCAAAATCCACATAGTCAATGAAACCACGCATGACATCAACATTCGTTTCACTTTGACGAAGGAACACTTGTGATGGTTTCATGAGTGTAGAGCTGCCTACACGAAGAAGAGACATAAGCACGTTCTTAAAATTGTTCAATACACTAACAACCTTCTAGAGGAATGAAAGCAATCTCAGAAACGTGCGTGATGAACGAAGAATCTGGACGATCGAGTCGATTCAAATAGGCAAACATCTCGCTAACCGATTGCACTTTCATCAGTAAATCATTCTCTCCCTTCATTAATCTATCAAAGGCAACTGTCAAACTCGGATTTTCCTTGATGCCAAGTGACAGCGCAGGATTTAAGCAGTACTGATTGAACAATTTGACGACTTGAGGCAGAAGATTAGGACACACCGGACTGTCATCTAGCAAACAACAGCAGATATATGATGATGCAAGTAAAAACAACCAAGTAAGACTAACTTATGAAAACGTGGTCTGGTACCAATAACACCACATTATCATTGTTATTGTTTTTTCTTTCATGATTGATTCTGTTTGGTGGAAGCTCTGATGGTAGAAATGGTTGATCGATCTTGGTCTTATTCCAGACTTTGAAGTAGTATTGTTGAAAATTCTTGACAAAGAAACACAATGCTTTTGGCAGTTCATATTCTTTCGTCTTAGTCGATTTCTGTTGTGACTGCTTTTCATGATGCTCTTGAGCGATTCGAGCTATGAGGGCGTGCAGATCAGGCATTTCTTGAACGCCCATCTCTTTGAGAAAGGTGTATTCACGTGAAGACGAATCATTATCATGCCAATCAACAACGGACAGTGTGTTCCAGTCGAGTTCAGTAGCAACAGATGGAAAACAAAGATCTTTTGGAATGTAAAGGTGACTCGTTTCTTTGCCTGGCTTTAGCGTCTTTCCTATGATCACAATAATGTAATATAAAAAACGAGACGCGAGATTTAGGGCTTGGTGGCATCAAAAATTAAAAAGTAGTATTGTCATAGCCTAGTGTTACACATCGGTAGAGCAATGTCTGCATTACAAAACTTTATGTAATACCCGTTCTTACTTGTCTTTTAAGAATCGAAGTGAGCAATCTGACGGCCTCAAATATGTAGCTCTAGCTCTTGTGAGATAATTACATATGAGCTGAACGGATGCTGTTTGAGTGGTTGAGAATATCCATTGCATGTTCTTTGGTATGAAGAGAATGTGCAGAGTTTTTAGCGTAGATTAACTTTTGATAGAAATTTGCATTCGAGTAAAATTTGATTTTGATTAACTGTTTCCAAGTTAGAATTTTTTTCTCAAGTTAGACTCGACCAGAAAATTTGTTGTGCTGCCAAAAGATAGAGAATTTTGCGTAGATTGTATGGATATGTTCATTTTAAAATAAGTATGTACCGTTCCTTACAAGTGTTGGTTGCCACAAAAACATCATTTGCTCAACTACAAAATCAGAAACATATAAAAATCAACTTTTACCCAGCTGGATTGAGTTCAAAAATTTCCTTCTTGTAGTAAGAGACGTAGAATTTTCGAGCGTATCTCATAGTGTGTTGGGTTTGATACGCTTAGTTATTAATTCTCCTTCAAAAACTATCAAGAAGACGTCCACGAGCCACGGAAACGTACTTTTCTTTGGCAATTTTCTCAAAACTCGACCTTACATAAATAATCCTTTTTGTATAAACAGAAGCAGAATTTCAAGCTCTAAAAAATGCTCTTCTTTATAAGGGCTGACCTCTTTCCCAGCTCAATGGCGGGGTTGAAATATTTTCCTTGACATGAAAGGGCGCCGAAAGTAAATAATTACGCATATTCTGTAGGTGGTTTTCAATGTAGTGAAAATCTGTTCAAGAATTTCTGTGCCTCAAAAGCAAATACATTTCTGCACTTTTTCACAGTGTGTTTGAATAGCGTATAGAAAATTATTTAACAAATAAAAATGACATGTATTTCAGTCAGGTGCTGAGAAAATGATGTTCTTGTGGCATCCAATGGTTTTAATGCCTCAAAAGAATGGTACATGCTTATTTAAAAAAGAACATATCAATAAAATCTATACAAAATTCTGTATCTTTCAGTACAAGGCCTGTTATTTGCATTTCTGAGTCGACATGTAAAACAGATGAATTAGTTCATACTCTTATGATCGATTTGACCGCCCTCAACCGCGTCGGTATACTCTCTAAATAAAATGGTTCCTGACGAACCTTTTTCTGCTTGAGGTTTCCAATTCTTTTCAAATGCAGAAACCTTTTGGTCTACGAAACATAAAATGGTTTGGCTAAAACCTACGAAACCTTAAATAGTTTCGTCAATTTATGCGAAACCTTATTGTTGTTTCGTACAAAACTGGAAAAGATTTTCTACAAAACTCATTAGATTGCAAATCCGAAGCGGTGCGGAACCTTTTACAGTTTTGTACGAAACAACGATAAGGTTTCGACCAAAAAGTTTCTACATTTGAAACGAATTCGAAACCTCAAGCAGAAAAAGGTTTCATTAGGAACCATTTTTTTAGAGAGTACTGTTTAGTCTCAAATAAGAGTAGTAGTTTTATTGTAGGGAGGAAAGGTGCGGACACCTGCACTCTCTCACAAATCCGTGGGACTTCAGCAATTCAGTTAAAGTGGTCTTCTTTGTCTTTATTTAATATAATCGAAAATCGCATACAGATATGTCAAACTTGCATGTTTGCGAAGAGTGACCTGAATCCGAGGGGGCAAAAGCAGGTCCACAGTTTCAAGCAGCTTCACTCAGTCCCACATGAGTTCCGTTGAGCTTCAATTAATTCAGTTCCACTCAGCTCCAATGAGTTTTCACCCTGCGAAACTCATTGGAGCTGACTGAAGCTCATTTAAACTCATATGGAACCATCTGGCACCACCGGAGCTGTGGAACTGCCGCCAGCTCCACTGGTTTCACTCGGTTCCATTGGATTCCATTGCGCTCCACTCGGCCTCAGTGAGTTCCACTGCTTTCCTGGTGGTACCGGAGCTGCTTTTTCCCCCTCGTCTGAATCCCAACAACTTAGATACAACTAACTGAAAAACGAAAACCGTTTTAAAAGACAAACTTCCAAAGAACTAGTTTTCAAAAAATTGGCTAAGATCTGATCAATTCATTCAACACTATCTGAAGTATACTCAACCAAGTCTCTAAATGATTTTCAACATTCAAGTGTTGGTCACGCATATCTCTCAATTAGATTGAACCAAAAACAAGATTCGAATGCACGAATGTCTTTAGCATCAACATCATTTCAGGAAATGTTGGACAAGTTGAGGAATAGTTATGGTATAATTTCCGGCTTCATCTATCATCATTTATCAGATGTCACTCGAACATGGGTCAAAATGAGGTATCTACGATCCGGCAGATTTCTCCTCTCCGGAAGCAGTTGGAGACCTTGGACGGGTTTTAAAGTATCAGATTAAGTTAGAGCAACAAAGTAAAAGAGTCAGACTTTTGAACTTTTTCTTTGTTTTATTTTCCGAAAGATTTCACCTCAGAAGCTCGAAAAAAGTGCAAAAAACGGTACAGAACTTCCAGCAATGTAAAGGACTGACGGACTAAATCAAAAGTCGGGCTCTTTTACGTTGTTCCCATATGTCTTAGCTGGAAATTAAGACCAATCCGAGCTCTCTAGCACTTAATTTGACGGAGAAATCTTTCTCACAGTGTTCATCAAGCACGAAGCAGTCGCTTTTGAGATATGATGGCACTAGTAAATGGGGCAGATTTTAGAATTCTTAGTAAGTCTGGCATCAGTTTTGATCAAAGCATCACTTACAGCTGGGAGACGTCTCATTCTAACCAGAAATGTTTACGCTAGAAACTGGCAACCTTCTTTCTCACTGCAGTCCTTTTTAGAAAACTTCTTTAAAATCCATCAGAAACGTTTGATATTGAAAAAAACAGTATGCAGTCTAATAGTGGTTCCATCGGACTCAGCCATGTGCTTAGCACAACATCGATCTTTTATGAAAAAACCTGTGTTTCTGATCCGAGGGGTGAGAGCTCAACTCACCTTTGAGCCATTCGCTATTTTTCAAAGCGTCGAAATCTCCAGGAGTCATTTCCTTTCGTTCTTCCATTAACTCTTCAATCAATTGCTGCACACTGCTCATTGATGATAACTCTCGAGCAGCGAGAAACGATGCTAAATGGAATGTATGACATCCGACTTGCTTGAGAAACTCGACTGGAACCAAATTATTCGAAGCCTCAATCAGCTGCCTGTCTTTTTCTCTGCTGTTGTTGTTTCTCAAGTGTTTTGTCAATTTGAGTGTGATGATAGGTACATCAAGTAACAGAGGAATCGATGATGGAATGTATGCTTCATTGGGTAATTTCATACCTCGTGTCGTCGGAATGCAATCAATAGTAGATAGTGCTGCGTTAATGCGACTCCATTCAACTTGATTGAACTCATCTACATGTTTTGAAATGAAACTAATCAGACATGTAGATGTTTTGACATTGCGAAATAGATGCTTTTGATTTTTATGTAAATAGAAATCAAGAAGTGTGCTAAGAGCGCATGCAGACAGTGATAGTTTCCCATGGAGCTGTTCAGGTGAAAGATTAGTGGTGATGCTTGCGGGCAATATAGTTGCTGGTAGAGGTAAACACGATGGAACATTGAATGCATCGTAATACGTGATTCTCTCCAATGTAACAATAGCCGATTCGATTGTTTCACGAAAACGGATAAATGAAAGTATACGTTTAGTACTTTCCGTATTGATGAAGCTGTCATCACACACCCAATGGAGCAACTTGATGAATTCGTTAGAGAGAAGAATCGATGTTCTGAGCGTTTGTTCGATCAATTCATTGTTCACCACCTTGATCAACTGTGATTCTTTGAGGTGCTTGAATAGTCTATTCTTGTTTAGTTTGATTGGGACGAGTTGAGCAGAAAGAAACGAATGGATATGTTCAGATTGAGCCAAAAAAGCTTGTCGAGAAGAGACAAACGAGATAGACGAGTCGGACGGTAATTGATGCACAGGTACAAGAATGTCATTTCTCGAAAGAAAGAATCCTTTCTGAACTGCAACACCTGTGAAAAAAAGCGAAGAAATGATAGAAGACTCTGACATGTTGCATACCGATTTCGCTGTTTGGTACGGTTTGTTGAAATGAGTAGGATGCCATGGCAAGAAATACGTCGTCGCTGTTGTTCACACATTGAGGATTCTTGATGATATCCTGCACCGTTTTATCATAGATGAATCGTGCAATTTGACCAGCAGATGAGAGAAGTTCTCTGTTCCATTTTGAAATGTATGGTGTTTGTAGGTCAAGATTCTCTCGTTCGATCGTCGGAATCAAATGGCTGTATAGATGCATTCCAATGCCCGTCGTCTGATGTGTTCCGAGACCAATGAATACATAACCTACATACACATTAATAGACGATATAAAATCCATAGTGTTTATTTTGCTTTACCCGCTGGAACGATCTCATCATTGTGAAAGTTAAGTGGTATTAATGAACGGAGAATCTTAGTATAGATATCAGCGCCGTTTGTCCCCGATGAATGTATCTTTCTCTGTTGCTCAATAATCTGAGAAAATGATGAATGTTAAAAATGAGAAGTGAAGAAGAAAACAATAACGTACGTTGTTCGGAGCGAATAAGAGTTGGATTTGAACAGTTTCTGGAAGGCTTTTCTTTAATTCTGCTTCAACTTGCTTGCGAAACTCCGCATCAATGGATACATTTGCTGTGATGGTAATATTATTGAGAGTGATTGAAGGACCGTTGACAATCGAAAATGTTTGTTCAGTGTGAACAGATGAACGCAAGTAAAATTTCTTGTTGATTGAATCTTGTGGTTTGAATTTTACTGTGTCATTTGTTGGTGAAACAATTTTGTTTGTTTTCATTACTTGAAACACAGTTAAACCGTTGATTTTGATGGCAAGTTCATTAATATGCTTTGTAAAACTGAGTACTATTGAAGAAGAACAACAACAAAATAGAATTACAGATAGTGAATAGTGTTTACCTTTTGTAAAATAAGCTTTGAGTTTGGTCAAATTGATTGTTGGCACATTTTCTCTGCTCTGAGCAGGTGTAGTCACGTCACCGTCTCTTGTCACATCGACATCTGAGGCTGGATCGATGTGTAGAACATGTGGTTTTTGTAGAGATAGAATAACTGTGGTTGGTTGAAAGTGTTGTTCGACGGGCAATTCTGAAAGAAATGTCGTCAAGAATTTGTTGTCTCGCCAAAGAAATTGCATGTGTTTGTTTCCGGACACGATTATCGGTTTTTCACAAAGCGAAAAGACAGAAAAGAATCCGACACCAAATTGACCAACTGCAT